TGAGGATGATTTGAGAAATGTACCAAAGCGACTGAGAAAAATTGTAATATCCTGAGGATGTTTTGTGGATGCTGCTGAGGTAACACATTACAGAACGTTCTTTCATGAACACATTCTCAGAATGTTCCATGAAAAACAAGGGAAGGACATTCTCAATGCAACATTAAAAAAAATAAAAATAAAAAAGCGTAAAGAAGAATGCTTTTAGAGAAATAAAGAAATGAACCTGACTCTTTTGACTGTATTATAAAGTCAATATTCTTTACACTTACATTTATTTTACTAAACACATCGTAACACATTTCCCTGTATAACTAGTTTTATAGTGTCACTATTGTAATTTACCTAAACACTAATTGAGGTATAGTTGACTACAGAACTCTGCAGTATAATGAGGTTTACTTTTTAACACGAGACATTTTAATAATATACTGTATTAATATCATGCTGCCACTGCAATCAACATGAACTAGTTTTGTGTCTCACGTTTCTTAATAATGTCGTTTGGTGTCAGGATCCCTGCCTCTGCTGGATCTCCTGCTTGCCCCTCGCCAGCCCTTTTTGAGAGTGTTGTTTTGGTTTTTTTGACAGCCGTGTTGTACTTTGTTGTGGTCAGCTTGTTGTGTGTCTTGCCCTGTAGATTCTGTGCTCCATGTACAGCTTCATGTGTTTGGTGTCTCCTAGCTCCTTTGGTAATTTGTCTCCCCAGTGGATTCCAAGCTCAGTGTCTTGTTCCATGTATTTATTGTTTGTTGCTTACCTCCAGTTAGTTTCTTGGTTTCTAGTGATCTGTTTCTGTTCATTTGGCTTTAGTTTAGCTCGCTTGCTCGCTTACCTTCCCTTGCTCACTCCCTTGGGTCAGCTGATGTGTATCCCTGAGTTCACCTCGTTTTCAAACTTTGAATAAACACCTTCTTGACTTAGTTTCCGGTTTCTTTACTAGTGTCTGTGCTTGGGTTCTCGGATCAGCCGTGACAGATTTGTGACTGGTTTGTGTCATTTCGTGTCGTTTTCCTTTGCCTCTTGTTTTTGTTTGACTCTGCTTTGTCTCCCTTCTGTTGTTTTGTGCCTTCATGACGGTCATTTTTGTGTTTGGCTCCAAAAAGCATCAGATTTTACAGCTGGTATCTATATTTTTTAACAAACAGTACTCCACTGTTAAAATCTGGCTGTACTGACTTTACAGCAGGTTATTGCAGTGTGTACAGTTTTATTATGAGCTACCCAATAGCACGAACTCTACCGTATTCAGTGAACACATGATGGCAGTATATTCGTTATATTACAGTGGATAGATTGATTGATTTTTGTAACCAAAGATGAAAAAAGACTAAAAGAGGGAGGAGCTGGAGAGCAGTGGTGGGCCAGACTGACTGAGGACTGTCTGTCCGCCCACATGAACACTTATGCTGCTAACAACATTAGCCTCCAAAAGTCGAGCTAAACTGTACAGGTAAGTGTTAACATCATCTGAGTACATTAACTTAATATACCACATTACATTAAAACAACACAAGTCAGTCTGTTTAAATGACATGCAACACAAACATCGTTAGCTTAATGCTGCGACATTGAACTTTTACTCAAGTCAGCTAGCTTGGTTAGCATCGCTAATTCACGTTAAAGCTAATATTTACTGGATGCTAAGTTTCTTCTCTTGTCAGTACACACAGAAATAAACTGCACTAAATCCTGGGGTTAAGTCCACACATTATATTTGACACTAGAGAAGCATGTTATATGCATTACAACCGGCACCAATAATAAAATAAACATGTACTTACCGAACCGTCAGAGTCCTTCAGTGTCGGCTGGTACAGCCAGTTGAAGAACAGGTCCAAATTACTGTGAACTAAAAACTGATTTAAACAAGCCAACGGACAGTAAAACTGTGGAAAATGTGCTGCTATTTCACCGATATATGACAGCTAGTGTTTCAGAAGTAACTCCAAACAAGGATGAGACTGGAGTTCACCCTGAATAAGTGGAGGCTGCCACCTGTCAATCAAAGAGCCATGCCCACTCACCTTACTAAATATTTGACTACTCTATACAATTCAATATTTAATTATATTCAGATTGACCACCTGATCTCTGGGTTTGACCAGGAAACTGACCTGTAGAAAAACTGTCTTCTGTGATCTAAGTTTTGCTGTGTAGAATTGGGGTTTATGGAGCTTTTGGAGGCAGCACCTGGCGGTCGTAATGGTATTGCAGGTTTTTGACACTTCCGGGTTGGCTTCACATTTCAGTCTATGGTACAGTCATCCTTAAAATTATTCTCTTAGAAATCTGTCATTGGGGTGCAGTTGGTTTGAGATCCTGTGACTGTGAAGGCCACAGCATATGTTTTACATCATTTTCATACTTATCAAACCTCATCTTCCCATCAGGATAGAAATGTTTCATCACAGGATAAGCGTGATCACTCAGAACAAGTTAAACTGATTTGCAGAGAATCTTCTCTCTAAGGGGGCAAATGGACCATGACCATGCCAAGAAAATGCTCCCCACAGCCTAACAGAGCCAACAGATCCCCTTATTGTAGGGGTCAAAGTTTTTCCTTTAATTTGTCCCCAATTTTTATGGCATTTTGTCATGAGGCTTTGAATATTGAGTGTAATTACAGGTACTACCCACAAGATGTCAGTAGGGTACTACATTTTGAATGCAGCAACAGCCTGAGACTGGTCACATATAGGAAAGATGGTGCAAGAAATGGCACATGAGAGATTAATAGTAATCATTGTCGAATGAATCCAAATAAAATGAACGCTGTGCACATCTTCAGAATCTGATTATCACTGCTTTTGCACGGTGACATGAGGTCACTCGGATGTGTCCATGGTGTTCTTGCTGGACAGAGTATCTGATAGGTCTGCTGCTGGCAGGGCTCCTGCTCTTAAGATTGCTGAGGCAGGCAGAGGACAGGAAGTACAGACACCCCACAGAGGGTGGCAATCATCCCAGGGCGCAGTGATGTGGCAGATATCACTCTACAATCTTAAAGCATGCGGCGCTCTGAGAAACAATAATTCAAAATCTAATGGTTTAAACATGTCAGAGGAAAGACAAAAAAGTAGGTTGTTAAATTTTACTGCATAGCCATGCAACATTTATGCGAAACAATAACACAGGTTTGAAGGTTCTCATGTTGTAGCGATGCTTGATGCTGAGAAAGTGGTGTTGGCTTGTGTTTATGGTCATTTGTGGGGCCACGTAATTGGATTGTATTCTTGTTTTTTGTTGTTGTTGTTGCTTTTTAATCCAACTTTCATATATGAATGTATTGTTTACCACTGCTATAAATGTTTAATTTCATGTGCTGGCTGCTCTCATTAACAAAGTTGAATAGGATTTAATTGAGTGTTCCATTATTAATAAGCCTGTGGTGAATATATTGCTTTATTTTTTATGCATGTGTTGTGAAGTAACTAATGAAACATCTGTGATTTTCCTACTATTGCAAGCAAATTTGTCAGTGAAAAACACAAACATTTTTGCATCAACATCTCATCATATTAAAAGCAAGCTGAACTTCAGCAACAGAACACACACACACACACACACAAAACACTAATGGCACTCAGCCAGCCAGCGATGAAACTAAACCTTCACAGGGTGGCAGCTAATATAACATCACTCCTACATTCTGTGTGGGGTGAAGATCAACTGACAGTAAACAGAATTAAATACATCTACTCTGCTGCCAAAGGAAGGTATTAAAGTGATGAGTTCATATCAGGCTGCTGCTTGTCAAAATGACAAACAAACAGTAATGGTGTGAAATGAAATGACTCCTCTTCTGGAAGAATCACTGACCAGGATGCACTACAATCTCACATAAAGCTTTCATAAGCCTGAGGATTAACAGGCGACATGCCACATCATCCAAATCATATGCCTTAATGCTTCCAGTAACTTGCTTGTTGCAGACGCTCTGCAGTGAAAGAGCGAAATGTGACTTTGGTGTGCTGTGTATGACAAGCTTTTTCATGACGCCATCGGATGTTAACTCAATGTAGGGAAACTTTATATGAAGACTTTTAATAAAAGAAATTATTCTTCTGCTCTCCCTCCTATTGCTAAAGTCTAATAAAGGAAGTTTTAGATTAAACCACTTCATATTGTCAGGAGCCTCACTTTTGGAGGCTGAATGGGCCACTGGAAACTGAACCTAATAACACCTGCAGAATTATCCATAAGAGACGTAAGCCTTCATCTAATTAGCAAAAACCTTATGAAAGCAAAGCGGTCGTAAAACTGACCCAATATATCTTCCCTTTGTTTGTACGTTTAAATGTCGTTTTAATAACGGTTGCTATTGACCGGCCAGTGGAAGATCTACAACCGTGACGCAGGTTGTGTTTGACGCACGAAATGGGCGTTTTTTTCCTCCTCAAACACTGCAAAAAATATTTAATCCTGCATTTTTGTTAAATCTCCTGGTCACTTCTAACGCTGGAGATTCACAATTAAGCAAATGTTAGGCTGCTGCATGTATGTCTCACATGTTTTCTCAGATTTTTTAAAGAGTAAAGTCAACATATATGTGCGTAAAAGTCTGGATTTGTTCTTTTGGCATGCGTAATCACATAAATACTCCCCTCTCTGATTATCAATTGAGAATTCTATTGAAGAGATGGACATAGTTGAATAGCCTGGACACTTTTTACAGTGTTCACCTCCTCTTCCTCCTCTTCCTCCTCCTCCTCCTCCTCTGTGAAGACAGAGGGGGCAGGTCCCGCTGTAGTGGGCTGTATTACTGCCTCGGCAGGTGACACTGTAGCTCACACGGGGCTTGAAGAGCCTCCTTGCTTATCTGGTTATAATTATAGAGAGGTGACCTGGTTTCAGCACCGCGGTTCGTCAACAGCTCCAGAGTACAGCGGAGATTTCGCCCAGCCCCTCCCCGCCCGGTACGTCTGACAGAGCGGGTGCCCAGGGCGCAGCCTCCGCGGCAGTTTCAGCACCAACGGCCGGCCGGAGCGGAGCGGAGCTGTCCACACATTCAGCACTTTTTTCTGCTGGAGGTGAAAACCGGAACACAGACAGCACGACAACCCGGAGACATTTCGCTCCTGGGGCGCTCCGAGACAACATATTTCAGGATGGCGTCCAAATCCGTCGGTGTTTTCGTCCTTTTCCAGCTTCTAGTCCTGAATGTAGTGAGCCAGACATCTGCCTTCCCCACACCTACAGCCTCCACGGATGGTGAGTTTTCAAATATATATTTGTAGCGAAGTTGCACGTTAAAGGAGCTGCAAGAATTGTAGAAATTTTAAACTATTTTTGGAGACAGCCACTGATTGCAAAGGTGATTTTAAAATGCTACAAAGTACAATAAGGTCATAAAACTCTTTTTCCAGCAGGAAGGAAATGTGAAAAATAGCTATTTCTGCTCAGGTTTCATGTGGTTTGAATGCTGGTTTTGGGGGCTTCAGTTTCAATTCTGATTTACCCTCCTTAACTAGCAAAACATGGCAAAAATCAGTGCTCTTAAAGTTGAGCTCAGCAGTGACTGGTGGTGGTTTTAGCGGCGCCTGGTCGCCTGGTAAGGCCGCTTGTGGTCTATTTTCGCCGCAGTTTAATCTTTTGTTTGATAATCCGATTATGCTCTGCCCCTGCGGTGGTGAGTTGGGAGAGCAGAAACGCATCACATCACAGGAGTCTGAAAGCCAAACATGAACTAAAATGACAAGAAAAAAATAATTCTGTGAGTCAAAGTTTGAAGAAAAAGTTATTTTCTTTGGTAGAAATAGCCCACATTATTTTAATACACGTCACAAATCTGTACATGTATGTGCCATGTAAACTTACAAAATCTGTTTGTGTATTCTCAACAAAGTTTAATAATTTTCCTGCCCTTTTTCATGTTGCAGACAAAACTGTGTACAACAGACAGCTGACAGAAGAAAGACCACTACAAGAGCAGGTAAGCTCCTCTTTTTTCATGACCCACAGCTAATTTTTTTAATCCAATATCCGGCCAAATGGTTTTTATGATCACTCGTCAAACAACCTGCGTATTAACTCAGCAAACATTATTAATCTGAGCTGATATCCTAAGTAGAAATTGTTTGTTCAATATTTCCCCAGATTGCAGAGGCGGACAGTGTGAAAGCTGCACTCCAGTCGGCTGGTAAGAGGAAACCTTCTTCCCAATCAATTACTGTCTTTATTTCCGCCTGCTGAGTGGATTCGTGTGGCAGCACTTCCAGTAAAACAGGCTTCATGTGTGCTGGAACCACAGTTCAAGGCTCGTATCTCTTTTGCTTTCTGACAGAAAGCAAACGTTCCGCCGCCTCCAAGGACGCAGGGTCGGAGCAGGATGACTTTACCATGCTCAAGTCACTGGCCGACGGCCAGAAATCAAAGGAGACCACTGAGGTGCCTGTCAAGAAGGAGGATCAGTACGTCCCCGATGAATCCGACTCCACCAAGAGCCGGCGTCTGGCTGAGGACTACGACTCCACCAAGAACGGGATGGAATACGGCAAGTACCAGGGTATGCACCGTCACCACTTAGTCGTACTTGTGTTGGAGGTCTGAATCCTTCTGTGCAACCTTTGCCCTCACTGTCAAAGCCAGACCTCATGTTGTGAGAGTCTTTGTCTCGCTGGCAGGCCACCAGGCAGACATTTTAAGAAAGAGTAGGCAGAGGAAACACGTGTGTGTGATGGGGATAAGCAGAGGCAGATAGAAAGAGTCAAAGAAAACACGTGAACGCAGGAGAGAAAGATTATCCCCCCCCCCCTCTGTGATGCTGCAGTTGTGAAAGCTCATGCTCTGCTACAGAACCCGGTTTTTCTCCCGTCTCTTGCATAGGAGAGTTTTAAATACTCAACACGACTGACCCTGACTGTCTCGTCTCCATCTCATTGTGAAGCTTTACCTTGAGAAACCACATTAAAAACCATTTGCCCTCATCACCCGTCAGTCCTTCAGTTATTTTTGAGTTCACATTTGTAATTTCACTCCAAAGCCAATCATTCTTTTTGATCGTCACATGTAGTTTTTCGTCTCAGCAGATTTCCTCAGATGAGCTTACATTTCACTGTATCTGCATGTAATTCGATCATCATGCATAATTGGACCTCTGAGGTGGGGTGACTCAGACGCAAAGCGCTGAGAGCTACATTTCATCGATTCCTGCAGATGACTAGCAGCTCGTTAGATTACTGTACGTCCAAATCTGGCGAGTACAAGTCTAGATTTCATTTCTTTATTTCCTACAGTGAGACAAAAATAAACCCGGCGTTCAAGAGTACAGTACATCGCTGATGATTCAATCTGCCAATACAGGCAAAAGTATTCTGGCGCTGCTTATTTTTGTTGTGTGTTGGACCTTGGGAAGCAGCAGGGCCAGTTATGTAAGAGTCAAGCTGTAACAAATGCACATCTTTTACTCAGTAGATGCAGAACTGCTGAATATGAGGAGAAGAAAAGTTATTTATTAATGACAAATCATTTTCCATTTATAGCAGAAAAGTACAGTAGAAGAAAGAGAAAAGATGAGTAAAAATGAGTGTAGAGAAAGGAGAAAACAAGCTTCATGAAACCTACAAATTATATAATTTGAGTAAAGAAAAGTTTGAAAAGGAAAAATGGCATAAATGAAGACACAGATCAAGTGTGTAAAAATGATAATTGATGTCTTGTCTCCTCTCAGATGACCCAGAAAGCTTCCGTCAGGTTGATGGCACTCCGCTAACAGCCGAAGACATTGTCCAGAAGATCGCAAACAAGATCTACGAGGAAGATGACAGAGGAGTGTTCGACAGGATCGTGTCCAAACTGCTCAAACTGGGGCTGGTAAGTTGTGAGCTTCATTCAGCTCAGCACAGCACGCTGCATGGCATTCTCTCAACAGGAACTCTCTCTCTGCACTCACTGTGTCCTCACCGGGAGATGAAGAGATGTGCGAATTGTGCTTTGTTCCCCCGATTTCAAGTGTGAATTGCTGTTCTGACACTCAATAAGCGGTTCGGCTGCTCCGTTAATTGCTCCCCGAGATTGAGCGCTCGGTGACAGTGATCAATACGTGATAAACAAAAAAGAGCTTTAAAGTCAGCACATGTTGTTCTTTTCCATTCACACAAGTTTGCCTTTTCTTTCTCTCTGTGTAGATCACAGATAATCAGGCAGATACTCTGGAGTACCAGGTGGCCGAGGCTCTGCAGGATCTCATCACCAAAAATGCCAAGAACAACGAGATCGAGGACACCGAGAGCAACGACCAAGAGACCAGAGGAGAGCAGGACGACCAGGGTTTAGACACGGTAAAAACCAGTTGAAGTAAAGTGTTGGTAATAGGAGGAGTGATAACAATCAGGATGACAACAAAAACTCTGCCATTTCCAGGACGCATTTGAGCCGCCCAGGCGTCGCTACAATGAAGACGACGACGAAGAGGAAGAAGACGAGGACGACGTTGAGGACGAGGTGGACCGGGATGCAGAGGAAGAGGGGGATGCCAACACCTGGGACAAAGGCACCGAGGAAGGCAACGAGGTGAGCCCCGAAGACGGACTCCAGGACCTGCAGTACTTCCCCAACTTCTACCGTCTGCTCAAAAGCCTCGATTCAGGTACAAACACAACCCAAGGTCACATTTTAGATCAGCGCTGCAAAAAAATAATTTTTCAGTATCTTTCTTCTAAAAATAGCAGCTCTTCAGATTTTAAAAACACGACTGGTTTGCTTTTGTTGTCATGGTGATATTGTTCTCAAACATATGTCAGTGCTTGTTTTGCTCACTTTTGTAGGAAGTGCAGAAGAAACGCACCCACAGGCACAGAACTAATTATTTATAATCCTATCATCATGATCCCTACAGTCAAACACCATGTGGTACCATTAGCACCATGGTAACCAGCTGCCATCGCCAGATATGCTGGTTTTGAATGCGTCTTCTGCTTTGCCGTTGCAGAAAAAGACACTCAGGAGAGAGAGACATTGATTACCATCATGAAGACACTGATTGATTTTGTGAAGATGATGGTCAAGTACGGCACCATCACGCCAGAGGAGGGAGTGTCCTATCTAGGTAAGACATGATGTTACAGCAGAACCGTCCCTTGGGAAGAGTAGTTTGAC